GTGACTTTTACTTTTGTTTTATGTAAAAGAGCTATCCAAGGAAACTACTTTCATTTTTTTTTTGAAAACTTTTTAAAGCACTTTTTATTCCGAAAGTCCTTTTGGAATAAGTCATATTGGATCAACTTCCTTTAAAAGCTATTCTAATTACTAGAAACACTTTCATAAAATTAGCCAAACAAATCCAAAAGTTACTTTTGATCTCAAAAACTCCTTTTGACTTTTCAAAAGCCATGCCAACATGCCAAGAAATCTTTAGTCGAAGATCGACCAAAAATCACTAGGCAGCATTAAAACCCAAAAAGTCGTTAAAACTGTAATCTCCTATATCCAGTACTAAATAGCTGGACAAAAATTTCATTTAGTTAAATACAACAGCAGGATTCAAGCTTCAATTCGACTTGAAAACACCAGCAAAGGGATAGATAAACTTTAGACATGCCCCCGCTCCTTCAAATTTCAAAGTATAGTCTATCTATATACTTGATGTTGCTGCTGCATTTGCAGTTGCTGTTGCATATCATAAGCAGCAGGCGGACCATTAGGTACTACTGGTAAAGGAGGAGGAGCATACTGGAAAGCAGGAGCAACACCACCCTGTACCTAAAATATAGAAAATTATAAGTTCTACGAGATTTCTTACGTTTCAAGACATGAGAAAGAAACTGAAAGCAGCCAGTTGCACAAGTGCCTGATCTTAGGCTCTTAGCCATGGAAATGGAATAATGTCCACACTCAAAATATTTCATGACCAGGAATTTTCACCGGGTGAAATAAAGAGAATCTTTGGGACTAAAAAGTGGAAAGGGGAAGATAAAAATATGCCCTTCGGGGAAAATTCTTCTATCCAAACAACCCTAACCAGCAATTCTTCAAATCTTGAAGAACAAACAATTGATCAAGCCCTAAATCTGTCAGAACAAATGGTTGGCAAGACTAGCATGTTCTATGCTGAATGCATTTTCAAAACGAGATGACAGAATCAGAACAGCAAGTACAATAGTCCAACCCTCCCTCCTCTATCTCACTGAGCCTCCGCAAACTCCATCAGAGCACCATGATTAATTTATAGTATTTTTATACGACAAAAATCAGTTAATCTAAGAGTTACACTAGGAGGTAAGGAAAGTTCTTAAATTTGAATCTTTAAGATAATTATAAAATCTCTTGGCTTTTCCAGATAGAATGAAATTTTCCAAGGGCTTTCACTATCTTCCCTAGAGCTAACAGATTAAGATGGTCCAAACTGCAATGATCAAACAAAGAGACCTATTGTGAGTATGGGACTAGTAGTCTAAAAAACAAAAAATACCAGATTAAGAAAACTAATCAAAGATACTGTTACCACGACGTTTACATAAACAAAACTGTGAAGCTGATGTTAAGTAGGATCGCACCTTAACCATAACTTTGACTGGTTAAATTGAAAGGCATTGCCAGAGCTAAAAGAAGCTAAGGTTCACCTTTAGCAAACTAATGTAAAGGTTTTCAAGTAGTTATAAGAAAAGTGTGTCGTTTTCTTCGGGAACACCAGTACATGAATCGAAGAGTGTTTTGAAGAGGGATTGAACATAGGATATATCAAAAATTGAACTATTTAGCCACTGCCCCACTAGTCCTCTGAGTACAATGGATGAAGAGTAGGGTGTAAATGAAACTTATAAATCTTTTATATAGAGGAAGTGTGGTTGAATCTTCATTTTGTCTCCTATTATAATAAGAATAATCCATTTTCTACCTCATATCCATCTTACTAAAAACACCATCCAGCCAAACAAGAAAAACCATGTCCCAATTCATTTGTCCAGTTCACTTAGCCTCGGGTTTAACCATGGGATCATTCCAGATGCAAAGTAAGTAAAAAGTTTGATTCTTACGAGCCCACATGGACCTTGAGAAAATCAAGGATTGGCTCAAATTGCTACAGCTATTCAGAAGAAAGAAATTTCTTAATGGATTTTGAACCAGTTTTGGCCTTATCAGGAAATGCTTCAGACATCAATAACTAATTTTAATTTCCTAAGCCATTTATGATACATTACTTTTTAGGAGAACAGATATTGTGTACAAGTAGAGAGACAATCTCTCTCTTTCCATTTCTGATTGACAAATAAGAGTGTAGGTATAAATGTTTTTCATCAAAATAAACATGTGAAAAAGTAAATTGAACATAGAACAAATGTCTCTCGCACAAATAAGCACGCGAGAAAGCAAAGGAACACATTAGAAGGTAATCAAAAGAAAGGATCAACACTCAGAACCAATCAGCATTAGTGGCAAGACAGAAATTATGGATCCTTGGTATCGCTGATTGTTCCTTTCCAATGATTTTGCAGTCAACTTTTGCATTCATTTTTAAGCCTATATAATTTCTCAAGGCAAATTTTAATTTTCTTTTGCAATATTTCAGGTTAAACTATTCTTTAAGTTCCAGTATCTAGAAATTTAGGAATAAGATTTAACTTGGAGGCCGGCGAACTAAAAGGTGGTTATCACTTTTAAGCAGTTCATAACTAATTTGGCTAAGAAATTCTTTTGTTCTAATTGCATTAAGATTTCTTTTGATTTCACAATGCCACTATCTCTATCGCTTAATAACTCTCTTCGTTTATCCTCTTCAAAATTTCCACTTATTTGCCACGAAAAAAATGATATACAATATTGGCAACATTAACTACTCTCACTACACTAATAATTTTTCTTCCTCTGATTGCATAGTATTAACTCCAGCTAAACTCTCCTCCGTCTTCTCTTTTCCTGTGAGACCCATTCCCTAGAATTTATAAAGCAAACTCATGTTACCTTGTTTCCTTGTTCTGGTTCATCAGGTCTTCCTTCAACACTTATCTTAGACATCAACCCAACCCTCTCCAACTTCATTTTTCACAGAAAAGAGGTCGTGTAGGAGGTTTCCGTCCAAATTGTTGTTAAATCCAAATGTGACTCACATTTTACCCTCTTTTTAAAAGAAACCAACTGCCAATAACCCATAGGTAAGGACCCCTTGGCTGCAATTTTTCTCAAAAGATAAAGAAAAAAATACCATAGAATAAAATGAAGTAGGGTACAAAATAGCAAAAGTTACTATTTGTGGTGCTTTTGGACTCCTTTCTTCTCCCTTTTTGTTCAAACTACAACCCACAAATTACCATATTGAAATCAGAAAATTGTACTCTTATCAGCCACAGAACCAACAAGACTAGCTCTAATCCTTAACCATTTAGCTTCTTGTAGACTGTGGATATAAAGTTTACAGTAGAAAACCCTTAACCATGTGCTAAAGAATAAAATAATTTCTTCACTTACTATACTATCTTGATGTGTTATAGGAAAGAATATTTCCAACTATAAATGCATGCAAATCCCTTCTATGTTATAATGTGCTGTAATAAGTAACAGAGGTATATGGAAGAACTCAAGAAATTAAGAAACAAATGAAAAGGCACATTTGATGGAATTTCAAAAGGGGTGATAGAAAAGTAACGGGGCGTTTGTTTTCCATTTTTGTAGAATGAAAAATATAGCCGTTATGAGCTCATACAAGAGATAGAAATTTAAATTTGATAGCTTGATGTGATGGATAACGGTTATATTTTTCATTTTAGTGGGGAAAAAAAGAAAAACAAACAGGGGCTAAATTTTAGGACCGATCCGCTATTAAAAAGAATGAGTTGCCAAACTCAGCAAGATGAAACACGGAAGTTTAACATCATCCGCAGTGAATTTCCTGCTTTTGCATATCTGTTTACTTTGTCATGTATACCAGATATTTTCTACTGTATATTGCAAGAAATGGATTTAACTTGTTATTTAATGACAGATTGAGACACTGAAAGAGAAGAATGGTTTAAAGGAAAAGCTTATTCAAAATAAAAGGAAAAGGTGCATATAATAAACCTGATGTGTCACATAAGGACCGGGGCCAAAATTTCCGCCATATCCAGTTTCAAGATTCGGGTAACCTGTAGGTACATGGAAACAAGTAATTACATGTTATACGCTTTAGGGTTTGCTATTAGACACGTGAAAAACAATAACAATTGCATAATTATATAAGCGGGTTCCTATTTAAAGTACCTTGAGCCTGAGCCTGAGCCGCAGCTGCTGCTGCCATTGCCTTTTTCTCTGCATTGGCAAGTTCAGGACGCAATTTGTCGATTTCCTGAGCCATAGATTTCATATGCTTCTCCATTGCTTCACTTAATTCAAGGTTATTGCTATGCATCTTTCTTTCATATTCAATTGCAGACCTTCAACATTCAGAAGCAAAAAAAAAAAATGCAATGTAATGATTTTCAAAAAACAACTGATTTTCTATTCAATGAATTAAACTGGGATAGTAACAATATCAACGAGATTTTGGACGTATCATCCCAGTGGACGGATTTCCATAATTAAAACCACAAATCAGATCATGGGATATAGAAGAGAAAGTCAGTGACTGTTCCCACAAGAAAAGATAAATATTGGTACGAAATGAATGACTGTAAGCACTGATGCTGTCTGATAATGGAATACGTGTACACTTATAGCCTATAGGTTTAAATTTGACGGACATACTATAAACACGTGTCACCTTCAAGACAACCGTCACATTTTTATGAGATGGGGAATTTATCAGTTTGAAGGGTTACTAATATGAAATCTCTAATGATAACAGTAAAGCAAAAAATCATGATTGATCTCGCAAGAAAAATACATAGCACTGCCATTTCCAGGTAACAAATTTAATCCACAAACCAACAAAATGGATGCAATCACGACAATAGTTCCAACGATGATTGTCAAATCCTTTTATTTTGTTTCACTTTGTTGTAACAATTACTTCAGGTCATAATTTTTTTTCCTCTTGCAGGGCGCTTTGATCAGATTCTTTATTTTGATATTAATGGACTAACAATTCTTTTGGTGTACAAGTTACACTTCTAAGTGCTATCCCTCATAGGTCACATAATAATTCATATGAATCCTGAACATAATTGCATAATGTAAGATAATTTTCCGATTATATAAGCTGAATCTGGAAATAATGCCATTAATTAATAATTTTATGCCAAATTACATACAACGTGATAAATGTATATACCTTCCTCGCTGGATTTCTTTGAGCATGACTTCAATCTCAGCCTTGACAGCAGCCATTTGCTGCAACTCCAATTGGGTCTTCGCAAGATCGACATCAACGTCCTTCAACTTCTGAGCGAGCTCCTTTCTCTCGGCCCGGAGTTCCTCAATATTCGCTCTGACTTGGTCCACCTCAGCAACAAGCCCATTAACTGAACGGGCCTCTGCCTCCAATTTAAGGGACCGCTCATAGACCTCACGGACCTGGGCGTCCCTCTCGGCCTTGACGGAGGCGGCAGTGGCTGTGAGACGGTGGATGTCTTGCTCAGCGGCGGCCAAATCCTGTTTGAGCGCCACGTGGGCGTTAGCAAGGCGCTGGTTGTCCGAGAGGAGGAGTTCGATATCGCGGCTCTGGGCAATGACGCGCTCCTCGAGTAAATGGACCGGGGTGTCCGGCGGAGGGAGGCGGTGGAGAGAGCTGTGTTGACTTGGGCGGAGATTTAACCCACGTGGGGCTATGTAATTTCGACCCGCCATGGCGGTGTTCCGATCGAGCGATCAGTACAAGTAATTAGGGAGTCGGAGCTGATAGCTTCAGGAAACGCTGATAATATTTGCTTAAAAGTTAATATTTTAACCTTCGGAAAATGAAAAAAAATAGCTAGAATGTAATTTATTATTCTCCTATTGTAGTGCGTCTCTTCTGCGACTAAGCTAAGGGCGAATATTAAATAAATTTTCTTTCGTGAGTCATTTACGATGGAGCTATAATATAAAGTAAAAAGTAAAGATTTCTTAATATTTTGTAATAATGAGTGATGCTACAAAAAATTGTACATGTTAATTTTTGAACTTGATCCCTGAGATTGAGTACGTACAAGATCTTCCAGTACTTGAGACAAAGGCACTGAGTTGTGTCTTCATCGCCATCTGATACTTAAGTTCAAGAAATTCAAGTATGAGCCCATAAACTGAATACAATGTAAAAACGTATTTGAACAATGAACTTTGATAATATATTTATAGATGTTGGTGAAGGAGCACTATAAGGATCCAACCCATATAATCCTTATACTTATCATGTAAGGTATTTGTATTATATTGAAAGTGTTCTATTTGGTTTTGAATGGAATCGTGATAAGTAAGTAATTTGAATGAGGGTAAAAGTTATGGAGAATTATAGTCAAAGTGGGGTTGATGTTTTCTAGAAGGTGCGAGATTAGATAAAGGTTTCGCTCCCATGACTTTCGGCTCGACCTCGAAAGGCCCAAATTGTACTTGAGAGCTCGACCTCATTGTTTGGATAATTGAGGAATGGCAATGACAAGACTTGTCCTGAATCACCCTATTTGAGTTTAATTTTGACAAGTGAACTTTTGATTTTTTATTAAATAAAATGTGTTGTAACAGGTGAGCTCAGGCTTTTAAGTTTGAGATTGGGCTGAATGATATTTGTGAACATCGTAGGTGTTCGTTGAATTCCCGCAAGCGTACGGGTTCGTTGTACAAGTAATAATCGTGATGAGAGAGTTATCGTCCCACAAGGAATAAGGATCAATTTTAGTATATTTGATATATTTAATTCGTGTTTGTAACTAAAAGACGATCGAGGGAATAGCTAAATAATTTTTATAACTAAAACTTGTGAAAATAATTAAATTTGGTTTAAAAATTCAAATGTGCAAACGTATTGGATTTCCGACACCATTGATTAATTCTTAGTTCTAATTCTCAACCAATAATAATTATCTCAATTTATGCTATTGCGACGATCGATAATTCCGTTTATTTATTTATTTATTATTCTTTCCCAAAATATAATAAACCTATGATTACCACGAGACGATCATATTTCTAAATCGAATTCATATGGCAAACATGCATTGACAATTAGAATTTTCATATAAGATCGCACACGTCACAAATACTATTCCTAATATTTATTGCCCATGTGTTCCAACAATAGTGTTCTACTTATCGTGAATTTTCCAACACTACGAAAAAGCAACTTATTATCCTAATGATGCGCAAACATTAAAACAATCTAATTAAAATGGATTTTGTGTCATTTGCAGCCAAGTTCCTCAATAATTGCATCTCAATTCCTCCACTTTTTGACTTGTATGCCTTGGCCTCCAACTTCCATCAAAGGCCAATTTAATCCCCGTGTTTTGGATTTTGTCACTTTTCGCCAATTTTTGCTTCTTTCCTTTCCTTCTTCGTCCAAGCACGAGTTTTACCTAAGAAAATTAATACAATAAAATTTAGATCATATTTTGCCAAAAGAACAATAAAATTATATAGTTTAGAGCCCCCAAATAAGTGTAGAAAATACACTTATCAGTAGGCCCCCCGTGCATCCATATTTTAGTTAGCGATTGTGTGCTCGAACTGCAAAGTAAGATGCAATAGCTTGAGGTTGAACTCCATTCCTAGTTGTTGGTTACAGCTGCAAATTCAAGGAGGTAACATTTCTACACACTACTGAAATAGGATTTTTACTCTGTGGCTTTTCGAAGAAGAGTTGTACCATTTTATACAAATTGGGTTAAGACAAAGACAAAGCAAGAGAGGCGACTTAAAAGGGACGAAAAAAAGTATTTCAATATCTTGATAAGTGTGGAATTGGCAAAAGCGAGAAAAATAAAAAAGAAAAAAGAAAAAAAAGAAAAAAAAAGAAAGAAATAACCTTAGATTTACAAATTCAAGCTCTTACATAGTTATAGTAAATTTACCAATGAGCGAGAGATCATGGTTTAGGGTATATGTTATTACTTACCAATCTTAGATTAGCCACGTATCAATGAATCGCGGTACTTTATGGTGTTACGTTAGATAACATTATAAATTAGATTTACCAAAACAAGCAAATGTAATGCAAAATACTAAAAATGGATCACAATGATCACAACGTGATTAATTTCAAAGCCTATACTTCAAAGAAATCATTTAGGAAATAAATGTTAAAATATATATGAGTTAATATCATCAAATACTAAAGTTTAAGCAATGTTGTAAATTAGCATTTTTGATCCATTTAGTCACCAAATTCAGATAATCGTACATAATTGATCACAATTTTAGCAGCATCTACTCTAGATTCAATGTGACAAATATGAATTAGATTATGAGGTTGGACTTTGCGTTGTTTCCTGTTGAAGAAGATGACTTCCAACAATGGTGGTTTGCAGGTAGAAAATTTTTAGAGAGAAGGGGAGAAAGTTTTTGTTAGAAAGACCGTCACATTTTAATTATTCGCAAATAAAGGAACTGACTTACATTTGTAGACGCTCATTACCATAGCTAGCAATTAATAATGATGTGGCAAGTACAACTATTTCACTATGAGCATCTCCACGTGGTCTAGCTATTCGTGTTAACATCTAGCGACCAATGGATTTTAACGATTGCATATTTGAGATGACTTATTATGTAACATTATCTAACTCCATTGATTGAATGGTTCAAAAAAAACTTTAAGGACCATTTTAAATTATTTCTAGAACTTAGTGACCAGTTGTGAAATTAACTTGAACACATATTAACGGTAAATTGCAATTTTCGTCCCTAACCTCTCTCACAAAGTTGCAATCTTTTCCATGACCTTATTGCATTTGGTTTTTATCATCAATCTTTGATAAATTAGCAAATTTGGTCATTCTTTAGCAGCTCCCATCCAAAAATCTGTTAAATCTGTGTGAAATGACATTCTTCTCCTCAAACTTAAACAACTCAAAGTAAAATAAAACAATAAAGAAGACTAAAGTTACAGAAAATAAAAGAAAATATTAGATATAAGCAAAAGAGTTGATTAAAAAAAGGCCACAAACACCAAGGGTAAAACTCCTTGGTTGCCTATGAGTGGGGTGGGATGGGATTGGATTGGGTGGGGTTGTGGTAGGGGGAGGGGGGCTTTTTTCCCCCTTCGTTTAACTTGCTTATTTTTATATTATCTTATCGGATGATATTTCTTTCTCTCTCTCTCTCTTTTAAATTTTTTTGTCTTCTTTGTTGTCGTTGGATTTTTTTTAGAGGGCAATATCGTCATCTCCCCATAGATTTTTGAATGTAACTATCAAAAGGGCCCAAATTTGCTAATTTATCAAAGACCGAGGATAAAAAAAATTAGATGAAAAAATATTAGGACAAAATTGCAGCTTTGGGCAAAGATTGGGGATGAAAATTGAAATTCACCATTAGTCAGACCACCATTTGTAATTGATGAATGCATAATTAGTCCTTGTTCGATTTAAATGAAAATCAAATTTTCCGTAAAATTTTGATAAAAATTTACAAAATATGTAGTGAAAATTTGTGAATTCGATAATGTAATGGTTAAAAATAAGTTTAAGAAAAAACTATTTTTATAAAATGGAGCAAAACAGGGACAGAGACACTTATCATTCTTTTACTTTTCTTCATTAATATTTAGGGGGTGTTTGGTAGGGTTTTTAAGTCAATTAAAATTTAAATTTTTGATCGTTATTTTACTATTTCAATCGTCATTTTTGAATTCATTTCTCACAGGTAAAACCCACTTTTACTTCTAACGATAAAAAAATCAATTTTCAAAATTCTTACCAAACACCCTCTTAATCCTTTTGATAGGATTAAAATCACAATTTTAATAAATTTTGATAAAAATTGATAAAATAAAGTTACGTGTCACATAAAATATTAAGACATTAATTTTTTTTTAACTCATAAATCAAATCATATATTCACCATTTAGCCCTCGTTTGACCCCATTATTTGTTATTTCAATTTGTGGAATAGCATTTTTTTTTTAGGAATGTCTGATCAAAGAAGAAGAAATTTTTTTAAATTTATATGTAATATTATTTTATTAAAAAATGTGTAGAGCTTGTTTGGGAGTGATTTTAAGAATTAATTTTTTGACCGTTAGGAGAAAAGTGGGGTTCATCTGTGAGAGAGAAAGTCAAATATGACGATTAAAATAATGAAATAACGATCAAAAAATCAATTTTTTAGACCAAAAAATCACTTCCAAACAAACGGGTAATTGGTAAAAATACGGGGAATAATGGATTATAATTTTGACGGGTAAATTAAACGGAGCCCCTGGAAATACCCAAGCGCGTCAGCTTTATTTTTCAGTATAAAAATGTCTAGCGGAACTTCACACTCTCTGCAAATTTCCCTCTTTCGCTCCCAAATCAGAACACGAAGGTCTGAATTCCGATTTTATCTGTTGTTTGATTTTCTTTTTCTTCTGTTTGACCAATTACAAAGAAAAATCCGCGTTTTAATTTGTGCAGTTTCGGTGATGGAACTCTTCAACTTCTGGAATCACTTTTAGTTTCCAAAGACGTGAAATCGTTGGTTGAAGTGAGATCGGCGTTGACAGAGTTCATGAGAGATGAATCGCTTCAAATCTTTCGAGAAATTTCAGAAAAATCTGTTGAGTATAAGCTTCTATGTACTGATTTTCTGATTCGTGTTTTCGGGCTTATTGGTGATGTTCAGGTATTATTCTGTTATATTCTCTAAAATTCATCTAATGTAGAGACATAAGTTGGTGACAACAAAGTTTTGAATTGAATAAGAAAATTAATCACACCAAACGTATTTATTCATTGTAATGCAATGATAGACGAACACTCAATGTGGCTTGATTCTGTCTTAATCTAACATCACGTGATATTTTTTTATCTGCCTTTGCCGAGGCTTTGTATATCGTTTCTGTCATTTACTACTGAAGCTTTGTGTAGCCTCCAACTCCCTTCACATTTTCCACTGTCCAAACCCATCTATGTAAGTATGAGTTTTTGGACGAGTAGTGGATTCATTTGTCAACATTTTTGGCTAGTCTTCTCCAATTGTTAAAAGAATTTGTTGCTTTAACATGTGGAGTAATATTTGAATTAAATGAGCCATCCTTTTTTCCTTACTTATAATGTGAAAGACCAAGTAATTCAATGTGGAATAAGAAGCCTACATTTGAGCTCCACTATTCGACAGTTTTATTTCTTAGTTTTTTCAGGAATACTTGCTTTTTTTATATTGAAATAATTTCATAGAGGATGTGTAGACAATTAATTCGATTTATTGACACATGCAGTCTTGCAATTTGATTTTTGGCAGAGTTGCTTGTCCTTGAGATATGAAGCATTTGTTATGCGTGAACAAAAGGCCACCACTGATCCCAGGCTTCAAGTTTCATGCACTGAATGGCTCACCTTTGCCGAGCATTTGCTTGATCATGGCTTTTACTCCATTGCAAACAAGGTTTGTTGTTAGCTTATTCTGCTTTAGAACGCTTGCATCTATGAAGATCTATGAGACTGCATTGCGTCATTGGCTTTTGCTGTATGTATCAAATAATGAACTTCACTGATCTCTAAATTAAGGCTGTCATCAATGCGTTCCAATCCTCATCACTTAATTAATAAGAGACAATAGAGAAAATCTGTCATGCTGTCGAAGCTTGCTTAGACATTTGTCGATCTCCACCTAACTTGTTGACCCTTTGGTTTCTCGAGCTTTTGTTCAATCCATAATGATAACTATTTATTTATTTATTTATTATTATTATTTTTTAAAATTGTACACAATAAGATTTTGATATTTCATTGATAAGTGACTTCAGGCAAAGTCTCTTTCTGTTGAGAAACACATTCCTTATAGAGAGTATGGTGTCTATGAAACTTCCCTTCTCTCCAAGACCCGAACAATCCAATTTGAGGGAATCTTCGATAGTGATAGGTACCTGGACTGAACTGCAGATTCCAATTGCTGCCAAGTTGCTCCCAATTCGCACCCAACCTGATCACACCAAGAGAAAAGGTTATTATCCACCTTCAGCAATTGGAAATAGCAACAGTAATGTATTCACAAGCTTTCAATCTCTATGAAATTGACACAAATATGTAGTTTGATTTATTGAAAGCTATGAAGAAAATTGGAACAGCTTCAAGGCTTTTGATAGGCCTGGACTCTCCCAATGACTCAACAGAACAAACGTGAATGATTCCCCAACTTTACCCCTATTACATTTATTCTCCATCCCTTACAAAAGACTCTCCCCAATTTACCCCTATTAAATGACTCTCCCCAATTTACCCCTATATTCATAAAAGTTTAATGTACCCCTAATATAACTAACTGACTGGAGCTGAATTAGTTACCGTGCTCTCCCCTTTTTTTCTTCTCGCGTAGGCGAACTCAATCGGTGGTCTGTCAGATTGAGGCTTAGACTCCACCTTCTTATGTTTATCTATAGAGGTTCACCTTCCATTGATGCAGGTAAGTAATTGTTCTTGGAATTCTCCAGTTTTTAAAAAAAGATAGCCATGGACCATTGAATCTGGGAAGATGATGAAATCAGATTTGGCGCTGTTCCTTTTTGAGAGCAACATTGACACCGGAGATGAAAGATAGGGAAATGGAAGGGGATTAAATACTCTTGTAATCTAAGCCATAACTGATGGATAATAGGTGCTAGGATTATTGACCAGTGCAATGTTGTAGCTTACGTGTATCCCGCTTGGGGTGTATGTTTGCAAGAATGAAAGTCAACGGATTAGGCTGAGGCATCAAAAGTGTTGGAGCTTGTGGTTTGATTCGATATACAGCCAAGAACCTTATTAGGGCTTGTCATGCCATGAATCCTCTTGAAAGATGGTGGTGCCTTCAAGAATGTGGAAATATGTTCTTTAGGAACATTGTTTGGTGAATCAAAAGGAATGAGCTGCTTTTTGTCTCCCAGGTTCTATCTCCCCTGATAACAACGAAAGGATAGACTTTTCTAGAGTAACAGGTTAACACTTCACTGTTCCGGCTTCTAAAACAATTTCTGTCCTCATTTATTGTCCATCAAGGGAGCTGCAGAAGTAAATGGTACATATAACTATGCATTCATAAAAAGTAGAACCCATTTTCGATACTTTTCTCTTCAGTTTAAGTATCTAACATGGGAGCTTGCAATCCATTCAGAGCAGCCATGTTAAGTAGATGGGGATCAATTGTTATTATTGGTGCATATGGGTGCTATTTTCTCATAAAATGCCACTTGTAATATTGATGGCTACTTATTATTGAGAAAAGACTCAAAATTTTGTAAGTTGTCTTACAGGAAACTGAAAGTTTGTTGGGATTCCATCACCTAGGACAGAGATTAGGCACCATGTTCGTCTGTGAGAAAAGAATATTTTATAATTTCTATATTCCTTCTTCCAGATGTTCAATTGATGCTTCTTTCTGAGATGAAGGTTATCTGATGCAGTAATTCGTATTTAACTTTCATCCAAACAAAGTGAGGTCAATTTGCAATGCCAATTTCCTACAGTTCTTACTCTGAAACTTAAAGATTTGGCTGAAGTTTGTGAACACAGCTTTCGTTTTTCAGCAAATGTGTAAATATTTTTTTGAACGAAACAAGAAATTCATCAACTTATATTGCCACAAACTGTAGGCAAAAGATACCAAGGAACACAGTCAATCCCTTGACAATTGCCAATCAACAGAAAAAATGAAGCTAACTTGTGGGCTACTTTATTCCCCTCCCAAAAGGAAGCAATTTTTGCCACAGCTAAAATATCACACAAAGTCCCACATACGAGGCATACTGGAAATCTATCTTAAGACTGTACCACACGAAGGGAATTGCTTTCTGTTATAGCAACCTGGAACCCATTATCTCTTGCAAAAAAGATGGCCATCCCTCATCACTACCGCCTTCGTGTCCTTGACTGAAAATAACCCCATTGTTCTCTTCAATGCACAACCACCACCTCAAATTCGTCATGAAGAACAGCCCTTGAACTGTTAAAACCCTAATTTTTGCTAACCACTACATCCGTACTTAATTTCAGTTTACTTGCTGGAGGTGCCTCCCACCTTACTGAACCTCTGAAAGGCCCACCAGCTGGCTGCACCATTGTCTTTAGTCCCTTCTACTCCTCCAAATAGGCCACTCCTCCAAATTGGCTACAATATCTAATAAAATGCTATGCTTTTGAGGGGCAGTAACATGTAGGACACTTCTGTTCAGCCCAAATTACCCACAACAGACATCCCAGTTGATCCGCCTCCCTCTCATTGCAGTGGTTAGCAATTTCAAGAAGAGAATCCCTCACATCCCCAATGTCTAAGTATGCCTTTATCCGCCCCACCATCCCATAGCCTTCCAAACCCTCTAGCGAATATGTCATTTGATATCCTTTTTTGCACGTTATTAGCATACTGTACTGAATGGGCTGTTTTTGAAGGAAAATTAATCGAAAACATTTTGTGGTGGCTCTCCAATTCTATTTGATCTACTGACTCAAAGTATTAAATCTGTGTTTTCACTTAGTTTATGATGGATTAATATAATTCTCACTGATTAATGAGTATTAGCATCAGAGATTTGTGCTTTTGCTAGTTGATTTATCTGTTCCTCTGGTGATGTTTGAACTTCATATTGAGAAGAAGTTGTGGCCCATAGTTTAAAGGCTGATTAAATCTTCGTTGTCATTTCTCTTTTTTTCTCTCTGAAGGCATGTAAAAAGGCGCTGCTGTGCATCAAGGTGAATCATGCATCAGACCCTGAAGCAGACCACTTTTTCCACAATGCGCATCTCATTGAGAAAATCAAGAAACTCAAGGATGTTTCTGCACTCTTAGCTTCTTCACGATCTGGTATGCTCTACTTTGAGGTCTTATATCTTGGAAGATTAAAATCATTGTAGATTTTAAGGAAAAATGCATTAGCTGCAAGACATTTGAAGTGTGATGTGCATGAAAATATGAAAGATAATGTGGATGATTACATATTTGTTTTTCCCTATGGACTTTACTATCATCTTTGTTTTCATACACATTTCATTACCATTGAAGCTTAAGAATTTCTTTTGCATTCAGAACCATCTGGAATCTGTTATTAGTAATAATGAATTGGTAGCTTTTTTAAGAAACTAACAATCAAAAGCATTCATACTAAGTGAAATCATACAGTCAGAATTTTATCAACAAAACTAATACAAAGTAGAAATATAGAAACCTAGTACGATAGACTTTGTTGAGATGCGTTTAACAAGCTAAATTAGATATAATAGTCTTTTCATCTTTCTGAATATTGAAGATTAACATAGCATCCATAGTCCCAGTTGACTGCAGCACGAAAGTAACTTGAATATAAAAAGAATGGCAACTGTTGTTGAGATTTCTCAAAAGGGTTGAGCCAGAATCTCGCATAAAAGCTGTTATTAACATAGAGTTACAGACACACTGATACTATATGGCTTATGTGACCTGTTGTGCCTAGTTGCAAGATCATGGTCAAGAAAGATGAGTTACTCAGAAAGGCAATCATTATATGAACCTGCATGTAAAACATGGAAATTATATTGGTGTTGGCAGAAATTTAAAATGGTGGCATGAGTAGCCCTTGCATGCAGAATACTTATCTCAAAGTATCATGCAGAATTAAAATTCCTATGTGATTCTACTACACTAAGGAATATAATACAGTTACTACTGAATTGATAACATTAAGAGGGTGTTTGGGAGATATTTTTATGTAAAAATGCATTTTTGAATAGTAAATTGATGGGAAATGTGTGGTTGAAAGATAAGGAAAAGTTTTTGATTTACGTATAATATTATTTTAATAAAGAATGTATGGTTGAAAAGAAGAGAGAGAGAAATGCATTTTGAAAAAAATGGGTACCAAACGGGACCTAAATATCTTATGACTTGATTCTCGTGAATAGGCTAGACTCTGCAACGACACATTTGCTTGAGCTTGACATCACTTTATTCCTTGAACTACTGTTTAATTCGCTTTAGTTCTGGACTGAGCCAGCCTGGAGTTAAGTACAAATAAAAATTATTAGTGATTTATTGAAGGTCTTGTGCATATTTAACAAGATAAAAAGCATGGCATATAAATATTGTAACCCTTTATCGGTTTGGTTGGTCAGGGACTTTTGTGTCTGATGTAGATTATTTTTCTTTGTGGACGCTGTTTCAGTCCAGGCACAGGCAGTAGAATACTCAATGCAGAAAACGGTTGAACAAAGTTCAAAAATCTCTAGCATCTCTAATGAAACCCAATGTTCAGGGAGCTCTCGGTTCAGAAGTGGAATCAGGCAAAACAATTTACGGAAACTACGAGAGCATCAATGTCGAAAACAGACATACTGCAGAGATTAAGATGTACAAATCTCAGGTTCCTCCACCTTTTCCTTTTGTCTTGTCTTTGTGTTGAAGACATACAATTCTCAGGCATATAGTTAAATCAAATAGATATAGGATTTCTCGCTGCAATCAAGTGCTTTTCCATGCATTTAAGATGGAGGAATTGAAATGATGGCACTATCTCATAAGAATTACATGACATCCAATGCACGTGTAATTTGTGCATACTTGTGGATTTGTCTAGTAGAATTAGAGCTTTGAACTAGTTGTTCCATCTAGTTGTACTTCTTTCTCTAAAACTTTGGGGATGTTTGGTTAGAAGTTGACAGGAATATGGAAGCCAAATAGAATCAATGATTCCTTGTTTTATTGGGAAGCCCTTTGATTTTTTATGCATATTTCACTTACTAACGAACCATCTTCATGTTTCTTTGTAAACTTCACTGAGAAAAGATTCTAATAAATTTCTTTGTTTCTGGTATATATTCATGCATATGAAATACAACTTTAGACATCTTAAGACTTTGTGTAGAGGCGATTCTCCAAGTTGAGGGCCATCATGTTTACTATTGGAGCTTCTATATATCTTTGGGGGCAAAGTATTTTTAACATCTACTTATTTAATAAATAGGATCTAACAAATATTTCAAAGAAACTGCATCAAGAAGAAAAAGAAAAATGAAATTGGGACCTTGGTTGAAGTATATTGTTCCAAAGGAGATGAGATCAAAGGAGTCTATTTATTAAATTTGACGTCTATTTGGTTACAATTCAAAAGAACTTTTTTGCTCCAAAAAGTTAAAGATTGGACCTAAATATCAAGAAAAAAAATTGAGACCAACGAGGATTATAACAATCCCAAAGACGAGACCATGACGTCAATATTTCCTTTATTTTAAACAATTGCTATCGCCTTGTTATTCTCAAAGTAAATCCGGTGGCAGTTAATGCAAAAAATACAATTTTTCTCTTCTCGTCATAATAATGTATGGTAATTATGTTTATTTGTTGAACTACCTTTTAATTGTACCTAAGGCCATTGACCTTTGCTCATTGTAGATTTTAGGTCCTTTCTTTTTCTTCAATTAAAACTGTAAATATTCATTGATAATAAACAATGTTGTAATTTAAAAAATTAGTATAGAAATAAGAAGAAAAAAAAGTTGACAAACTTAAATTCTTGTTTGAGAGGGTGTTTGGTGGGGATTTTAAAAATTGATTTTTTGATTGTTAGTAATAAAAGTGGATTCTACCTGTAAGAGAAGAATTGAAAAATGACAATTGGAATAATGAAATAACGGTCAAAAATTTGATTTTAAATGGCTTAAAATCATTATTAAACAAGATCTGAAAATCATTATTTGAAAAAATAAAAATAAAAATTTGAAGAGTGATTTTTAGAAAATTTGTGGTTAGAAAGTGTAAAAGTTTTGAATTTAACGTGTAAAATATTTTATTGCGTGAATCTAATTGATAATGAATGTTAAATAATGGTACTGAAATTACTCTGGACTAATTTTGTTAACTGCCACGACCAATTAACAGTGCAAGCCAATGGTCTCCAAGATGATTGAGCGATCCAGGCTAAGTTTTATACTATCTTCGAGGTATGGACGAGATATTTTGCGATTCCTAATTACATATTCCCTGTGGGGTAAAAGAAGTTGATCAGGTTGAGGGAAAAGACAGCAGATGTTATAACATCTGCAGTTAATTTGTGTTAATACTATAATAATACAAATTATACTGTAAAAATTTACTGCAAAACCCCCCAAATTTCTGAGCGATCCAGGCTAAGTTTTATACTATCTTCGAGGTATGGACGAGATATTTTGCGATTCCTAATTACATATTCCCTGTGGGGTAAAAGAAGTTGATCAGGTTGAGGGAAAAGACAGCAGATGTTATAACATCTGCAGTTAATTTGTGTTAATACTATAATAATACAAATTATACTGTAAAAATTTACTGCAAAACCCACCAAATTTCTGGAACCCTGGTTTGAATTTTCCATTCTCAACACCTCGAATCTAAAATATTCCGATCTTGACTTCTATTTCACCACGTAATTAGTAACCTACCGCCTATCTGTTTAACTTTAATTATTCTCTCGCTAAACCGTTTGTACGCAATAACTGATTTTAACCCAATTCTCTAATCCTAAACGTGTTCTTGGGTTTTAGAATTTTTCAATGGCTACCGACGCCTCGCCGAAATTCAAAAAATCCGAGCTGATACTGGTCCCTCAGCCGCCGGACTATCACCCGGAAGTTACCGTTTCGCCGGCACACGATGGCCTCGACTTTTGGCAGTTCATGATCGCCGGCTCAATCGCCGGTATGGTGGAGCACATGGCCATGTTCCCCGTTGATACAATCAAAACCCAGATGCAAGCCATTGCCTCTTGCCCTGTTAAATCCGCGAACGTTAAACAGGCTGTACTATCTATCTTGAAATCGGAAGGTCCAATAGGGTTCTATCGTGGCATCGGTGCTATGGGTCTGGGCGCCGGGCCAGCCCATGCCGTTTATTTTTCAGTTTATGAATTTTGTAAGAAGAGTTTTTCGCGTGGAAATCCAAAAAGTCATGTAGCCCACGCTGTGTCAGGGGTTTTTGCAACTATTGCTAGTGATGCGGTATTTACTCCTATGGATATGGTTAAGCAGAGGCTGCAATTGAATAGTAGTCCGTATACGGGGGTGTGGGACTGCGTAAAGAGGGTACTGCGGGAGGAGGGATTTAGAGCCTTCTATGCTTCCTATAGGACCACCGTGCTAATGAATGCACCTTTCACTGCAGTTCATTTTGCAACCTATGAGGCAGCTAAAAGGGGTTTAATGGAGGTGTCAGCAGAAAGTGTGAGCGATGAGAGGTTGGTGGTTCATGCCACAGCTGGAGCTGTAGCGGGAGCAATGGCTGCTGCAGTTACGACCCCACTTGATGTTGTGAAGACTCAGTTACAGTGTCAGGTATTAAAATATATATATTGGAAATTAGTGTATAAATCATGGTTGTTCAGAGTACGTGAGGTGTGCATTATGCTTTGATTAATTTATCTTTAGAAAATGAATTGCTGTTTATTTGTAATGTATAATACCATTGCAGAGCTGCTTTTCAGTACTACTTTTTTCAGGACTCTACAATTTGTGGAGTACTGGACGCTGTCAAGTGTAAACATAATTAGACTGTTAAAATGTGTCTTAGTTGGGCTGAGTTATTGACTTTTTTTTTTTTTTTTTTTTTTTATTTTTTTTTTCTTTTGGAAAAAAAAAATGAAATTTT